AGTAAGAAACAAAACTTTACTGACTTTTACAGTGACAAGAAGAAAAAACTCCTGCACTGTCAAAATGCTAGACAAATTGTATCACTTAAAGCAGTTACTACTCCTAGGTTTCACTATGCTTCACTGGAAAGCAATTTCTTAATAGCATTTTTAAGGTAGCACACCATGATTTATTCTTACTTGGTTTTCAACTTAAAGTGGTTTTGTCTGCTGCATATCTTTTTTTGGCTTTAAGGAAGGGTGGCCCAATAATAATTAAATAAAAAAAACCAAACCCAGCACAAAATATAACCACTTTGATTTACAGGGTCAGAGGAAGAGCTTTGAAATGTCCAGTAAATCCAAACACTATTTCCAGTCTTTCTTCTCGTACACTCACTATTCTGCGTATTTTCCTTACCCTTGAGTAACATATGGATAGGCCAAGCATATCCCACTTATTTGCTCATTACATAACCCATTCCTGCTATATTATCATTCCACACTTCAATAACTGTGTATGTTCTTGTTACCCCAACACAATAAACCATCAGAACAAGGAAACAGACTTCAGTGTGTGGGTATCTCATTTTGGCAGGTTTAAGAAAGACAGGAAAAGGGGAAAAGGGGGGAAAAAAGAGCAGAGCAGAACAGGAGGGAAAGACAAGAGCAAGGCTTAGTCTTTCATATGGGATGGTATACCAGAGGACAACCACAGTACTTCTCAGCAAAGCTCAAGAGATCCAGGTCTGCAACAGCCGTGTGCTGCGCACTGGTGCGGGGTGCTGAGCACCTGCTGCTCCCACTGCAGCAAAACGGGTCACTGCCACACTCAGAACTGAGCTTCTGTCACAGACCATCGCACTCCCTGCTGCCCTCAGCACAAGACATGCACCACTTGTCTTCCACAGAGGCTTCCAAGCCCCTCCGTCACACCACTGCAGACCCTCACCTACGGCACGTGACAGGGAGGTGACCACAGAGACACTGGCAAACGTCATGGTGTCAGCTCTTTCACCCTGACTCAAAGGTCAAACACAGCAGCAATACAGAAGCCACTCTTTTAGAGATACAATGCTAAGAAAGTCCAGGAAAAGTATACCCTTAACCAACTAATTAATGCAACTAAACTCAAGTAATCTTCCCTCTCAAAAAACTCTGAAAGAGTACCAATTACTTTCAGTCACTTAAATGAACGAAGTTCTCTATGGTGTTACTTCTCAATTCTTGCAAAATACTCCTGGAAGTTTTTTGAGCATCATGGGAACACCTGAATGCACGTGTTAAAATGCTCATTTAACAAGCCTGGTTCTTCTCTCCCTGAAATCAGCTGCCCTTAATTTAAACAGCAGGAGACCTGGGCCTTTTCCACTGCCATGTTCCTTATCAGAGCTCTATAAATGTCACATCTTTATTTTATTAGTGAAAGACATGTTTTATAGATTAACAATAAAAGCATTCTTGTATGCGAGTTTTCCAGCCCCTGTTGAGACTCTGTATTCTTGAAGGTCAAATAAAGCAGTCCATAGCAAGGGGGAGAAGAAAATGCTCTGCAATGTCCTTTTAAAGAGCCTCCACAGAAAAGAGAATAAATAGCTGATTTGTTACACGGCTTTGAGGGCAGCCACAAATGCTAAGACCACAGGTAAATGAACCTGGTCATGAAAGGAGCAGCAGCTCGTCCAGTACCATTTCTACATTAGTTAACTTTCTTTGTGATTCAAGTCCAAGACTTTGCATTGTTCTATTTCCGCCTATTCCTCTGCTCTGGATTCCCTTTGTGACACTTTTATCAATGGAAAATCGAGGGAGGGATTTCCAGCTGGGAGCCCAACAAAAAAACAGGAGGTTCAGTCTGGTTTTCTCACTTGTGCTGCAAGAACCATTTCAGCACTAGTAATAAAAGCAAAACTACACAAAAAAAAAAAAAAAAAAAAAAAAAAAAAAAAAAAAAAAAAAAAAAAAAAAAAAAAAAAAAAAAAGACACGACCTGAAATTATTTTAGCATCATAAATGCTTCACCGCTCTCTTTATTCTGCAGTATGGTTAGTGTCACACATTGGCACAATAATTTGCTAGCTTAAACAGAGCTCCTTGCAAATAATGAATTTATATTAAGGGTCGCTGTCAGCTAGAATTCCAGGGAAATGCAAAGAAAAAGATAACAGCCATCGGTCAGATCTACTCTTTGTTATGCCCTTGCAGTTTTGACAGATTTATAGCTGCAGTGTCATAATATTAAAAAGTCTGACTGTGTCCTCTGTGAGTGGTGAGGAAATTACACACAAACAACAAGGGAAGCCAACCAGCACAGTGGGAACCACGCAAAATGGATTGTGCACAGGGACATCGACATGGCCACGCCTGCGGGTGTCATTGCAGCAGCCACAACAGGCAGCCAGTTGGGTGGTTAGTTTAGTTGTAACCTGAGGAGGTGGCTTTGAAAATGAGATCACTTGTACTAAGAGGATTTTCAAGGTAATTTTCAGGGGACAGACTTGGTATCATTTAAGACCAGAAAAGACTAATAATCATACTTTTAAACATTATGGCAGTAGAGACCCTTCATCCTGGGAGGCACTTTGGTATAGTAACAACAGAGTAACAACTCCCATACATTTATGTGAGCACCATTTAACACAGACAACACTCTCCTTGAATTCCAGAGCTATTTGTATACACCACCAAGGAGCCCCAGCCACCACCACCTTCTCAAGCAAAAGAAGAAATGTCTCAAGGTTTTCAGTAGTCAATTATCCAGCCACTGCAGGCTCTTCTAATGTCCTAAAGGCAAGTAAAATATCTTTCTCTTGCTCACATGTGTAGTCTGTAAGGGCTCTGCTGAGAGAAGCACCTTTAGATAAAACAGAAATGGAGGAAGCTATCATCACCTCAGTTGCATAAGCTTGTCAAAGCTGCAACAGGACAAGAAGAGAAAAGCTGGAAGCAAAATGCAAGGGTGGAGAATCAGATGCAAAGGCTGTCTTCTTAAAGATAGAGAATACTTAAAAATGTGCCTTAAATAAAAAAAAAAATAAAATAGCACTCACATTATCAAATAGCCTGAAAGTTTAGAAGGCATCTGAGAGAACACTGTATGGTACCCAAATTCTCTTCTATTTTCTAGTCTGTTGGAGGAATATTTTCAAAAGGTCACATGGATTTCAGGCACCTAAATCATAACAAATTGTAAATGAGGAGACCTTGAGAACTGACTGCTAGCATTCTCTGAATCTATACCACAGATGTGTTATAGGGAACACAAGTTTGGGTAGAATCACATACCACATACCTGTCCTGTAGATACCCCCTAACAAGAGAACATGCCAAGCAAGAGGGGAATAAAATACTTGCAACGTTTTTGATGAGACCGGGGAGGAAGTGCCTTCATTCCTAATGCCACAAAACCTGAAGTTTTTTAAACAGACTATTATTTAAACCCAGTTTTACAATGAGCTTCTTATGTCCTCCCAAAGTCAACGCATAAACTTCACAAATGACCAGGCAAACACATAGATCTGGGTTATGTCTCCAGCTCCAACCATTTACTTTATTGCCTTCCACAACATACAGAGCAATTCTCATTAAGTAGCTGAACGTGTAAAAGCTCAGTAGAGAGTTCAGGAAGTTCCTAAACCAAAAATAATCTAAGGGGCAAACTATGTGTGGAAAAAATTAATATAACTTGTGTGAAGTCACATGAAGTAACTGAAGGAAGTCTATGTGATCCTAGCAGACACAATCTATACCACATCACAGACAAGCCAAACAGGAGGAAATATCCTTGATAATACTCAGCTATTTGGAGTTTCCTCAGCTCCAAATCCAAACAGCAGTACATGAGTAGGTCACATTAACTAAATCCATCAAGGACATCTCCATATAATTTCTGATCACTGTCTAGGGTCTGGCTTTTTGCTGTGGCCAATCTCTGAGAAGACATCAGAAAACAAAAACAAACAAACCCACACAATATTAAAAACAAAAACAAACAAACAAAAACCCCTCAGAAAACAAGGGAAAATCAACACACTCACAACTCAGACCTAATAATTACGAGCCAAAAAATGAAGTGAGGGAAGAAATCACTTCCCATCCTTGCAGGTAAGGTCCAAGTCCTCTAGCACGAGATTTGAAAATAATTAATATGAGACCAACAAGTTAAACAGCCTTACAGGGTCTTTTTAATTTATTAAATATATTTCGCTTTAATCACATCAATTTTTCAGAAATGTACAATAATCTTTGTGGTTTAAAATGACTTTGTGTTCATTTTTTAATGGAGAGTATTTTTATTCATCTAATACATTATCTTTTCAAGAAAATTATCATACTTGACTACAAGTACTTAACGGGGCACTAATTAATACTCCTATTTCTCCCCATTTAAAACTCCTTTGAGAAATGAGGTCAGAAACCTGGTTTAACACGGGAGACACTTCTCAGAGGCTAAAGGAGGTGGGGACACAAAAGGCATTTGTCACCCTTCTTCACGGAGAGCGTCCCCTTTGAACAGGACATGCCAGCCCGGCAGCGATCCCTCTGGCCGAGCCAGCAGCTGATGCTAAGCCCCCTGACCAGCAGCTGGCCCGGCAGCACGTCCGTCCCTCTGCTCCACACCCCATGAGCGACAAGAAGGAATCCTCCCAACAGGGTGAGTTTTACTTTTCCCACTCCTGTCAGAGCTTGCTGCAGGCAACCTGCCCGCCTCTCCCGGCAGCAGGGCCGAAGGAAAGGCTTGTCCTAGTACAGCTGGGCCCTGGAGCCCCCATTCCCCCGTGCCGTAAGACAAGGACAGGCAGCTCCCCCTCCCTCGGCGCAGGATCCCCGCCGGAGCCGCGGCTCCCTGCCAAGGCCTCGGCAGCGCCTGTGCCCGGCCGGGAACGGCGGGAGGAAAATGCGGGCTGCAAACACCTCCCAGAGCTGCTTCGGACTCCGGGAACCGCCGCAGGGTTAAAGGGCAAAAGCAGAGACCAAGCGCAAGCGTTTCTGAAGCTCTCGGGAAATTTGCAGACACTCACCCACGAACTTCACATTTGCGTTCGCTCCGCATTGTCTACTAATTGCAATTATCTAAGAGCGGCTCCACGATGGGAGGAGGGGAGGAGAAGAAGGCTTCCTTTTGGCACAGCTTCTTCAGAGTTCAAAGGACACATATGGCCTGCAAACACAGTGCAGGGAATAATGTAAAATTAAAGGAGGGATGAGAGGAAAATGAGAACGCAGCAGGGACCAGCACTGTTCTGGATCTGCTTGACTGGAATTTTAAATAAAGAAACAGGAGGGGAAAAAAAATCAACAAAACCCCCACACTTCTTTTGATTCCACATCTGAACAGAAGGAGGGATCACGGGAGGGGGCCCACATATGAAGGGAAGACCTCTGGGGAGCAGAACCTGAGCACTTCTGCGGGGGCCAGAGACCCCAGGCCCTAGGGCCTCAGCCCGGCAGCCGGACCCAGAGGACTGCCCAGAGAGCAGGGCTGGAAGCTGCCAGAGGTACAAGGGCTTCACGAAATGTACAACCAACACCTCCAGAGAGACAGGAGAGGTTCATTTCAGAACAAACACATGTGCAGCACCAAACCCGCAGGGAAGGACAACCTGTCTACCCACAGAGTAAAGCAAGAAAAAATAAAAGTGTCCAAATAGCACATGTCCCGATTTCCCTCGCAGTGCTCGTCTCTCGCCACACAAAAGAAAGCCACACAAAAGTCAGCAGCCTGCTAGAAGGTGCCTTCATGCCAAAGGCTGACACCTGCTTGTGGCCTTGTCTTTGTTAGGGCAGAAACCAAAGCCTGCTCTTCTCACTGCAGGGCATATCAAGTGCAAAAATAAATAAATAAACAAAACAAAACAAAAAATCCACAACAATTCTTGGTTGTAATTTCTACAGAATTATTGCACAACAACCACCCATAACGAGGGAATGAATTTATAACCGCACACAAGCTATATTTACCAGTGGACTGGTTACAAAGCAAAACAGCAGGAAACCACAATGTGTGTCTTCATCTTAGCTCCTCAGCAGAGCAAGGCTGCCCGTGCAGCAGGGCAGGCTGGGCAGGTGAAACCCAGGCACACCCACCAAAGAGGAGCACAGCCTTATGACACTGGAACCTGGAGCGAGCAGGGCACAAAGTTGCTGCCAGATAGTCAAGGGAAGCTATGCAGAGGTGCAGCTAGTTTGTCACTTGTTTGACCTCAGGGTTAAACAGTTGGCCACACCAAAAAAACTGAAGGGAGTCTTGCTTCTATCCCAGTTTCCAGAAATTTTGATACCTAGGCAGAATTTAAAAAAAAAACAAAAACTGACACAGAAAACAAATTTAAAAACCACCCCACAACTGGAAATGCAGCTCCCTGTGCAGTCAGGATCCAGGAGACAAACCGTCCCTGCCCCTTGAAATGAACGGCCACTCCCAGAGAGCACAAAGTGCTCTTCTCCCATCGGCTATTCAACAGCTGGCCCCATGGCAAAACGGGCACAATTCAACCCAGACTGGGACAGTGGGACTGTGCCACAAGAGGAGGCCTGGCAAGGTCAGCAGCTGAGCCCCAGATGACAACTTTTGGTCACTGGGGAGAGTTGATTTGGGTCTGCCTACCAGACACCATAAATTGCTGAGTTCAGGGGACCTTCACCCCTTCAACATTGCATTTCAGGCAAATTTGGACAAAACTGCCTCACAACTGTGGAAGTTAGTGGGCCGATGCATTTAAGGAAAGACAGGCAGCACACTCACAAGAGCCCCATTTCCTCAGGCTGACATCATACAAGCAGGCAGCATCCCTGCTGCCAGCAGTACACCCCTGACCACCTTGCCCCAGCTGCTCCTCCTCACCCCCCTCTGTGCCAGTACAAACCCTCATGCTTTCCAGGCCAGCATGAGAATGGTGGCAAGCTAGATCCAGGAACAGATTCTGCTGAAAACTTACCTTTTTTTTTTTTCTTTCTCTTTTTTTTAGGGATTATTTTTAACTTGGATCCTTTCCCAGATCCAGCTCAGAGCATGACTACACAACGCTTATGTCAGCACAAGGAAGCCATCTAATGAGCACCCATGAGGGGGGCAGGATCGCTGCCATCGCTATCCTCGCCACCTTAATGAGCTTGTAAAACAACGGCCTACAGACAGCAGGTTAAAAAGTCACAGAGCTTCAGTAAATTGAGGACAACACATAAAAAAAAAATAAATAAAACCTGAAACTCATACGCATAGGTTACCTATCCACTGCTGTGTCAAGCTGCCAAAACACAGCAAAAGCACAGGGCCCTCCACTGAGGAAAAGCAACCTTGCACTCAGCTCCATCAAAACCCCAATGCAGAAGGGCTCCTGACACACACTCATGGAAAATCCTGGTCTTTACTACTTCCCAAGCAGGATATACAAAGAAAACCCGCACCTTGTAAACCACTGGTATCTCCAAATGACCTTTCTCTTATCTTTTTGGACAGGCATGCTCTCTCTGCTCTGTTCCTGGAGAGTCACCAAACAGCCCAGCCCCAACCCAAGGAGGAAGCATAAAAGTAAAAGAGAAAGGAAGGTGAACAGATCAAACAATTCTCCTTCCTCATGACCTGTGGGTGCAAAGCCATCACAACAAATTGTGTAACCTTAAACACATGTTAAGATGGAGACAAAAATCCATGATTACTGCTTCTGCTGTTTATGCTGACCAGTGCATTATTACTGCTCTGGTGGCAATCAGTGAATCTGTCATGAAAAGAAAGGATGTGTTGGGTTTGCTATCGATCCTTATAATTCCTGTCTGAGAATAATCATACCATCTTGAAATATAGCCCAAAAGAGCACTGTTATTCCGGAACTGAGCTGCTTTTGGAAGATGAGTAAAAAGCAGTTATATCCTTTGAGATATCTTCTTGAGGTTGCAGACAATTGTTCCTGGCTTTATAGACACATTTTCTGATCCTTAAGTATTTTCTTTCCTCTATAGCTGAAAGAGCCACGCACAAATAAAGAGAAATCCGTCTATCCCAAGAAATCATGTAACTAACTATAGACAGCGGGCTGTCAAGTATGCACAAAATAAACTAACTGAAATAATATGATTTTTTTCCCCCTCTAATAGCCTACATTTATAGTCACTGTTGGTGTGACAACCAGTAACAGTAAGTGGAATGATTTTATGCAGCACTTTACATATTGAGATATTCTATATCCCCTTGTGCAGCAGTTTCTAACACTTATTTTGTATTAAGGCAACAGAGTAAGGCACCTCAAATTAAGCCTGGAGCAGTAACCATTCCCTCAAATCAGAGCTAAAACGCAGACTAACAGACTGTGGCTATTGCCGGCTCACCTCTTTCTCCTCAGTGAAGTCTGGACATTACCAGTGGATGGGAGGCAGAAGTACAAGCCTCTGATGGCATCCAGAACTGCCCCCAAAAATGCCTATGAAAATACATATTCCAAACATGGCTACAACAAAGGTACCAAACAAAACATATGATGCCAATCCAAGTGTTACAACAAATTGTCCATTGTAGCTGAAAAACGGAGAAACACAGCCCTGAAAAGGAATCAGAACAATACTGACTTTAAAATTGTTAAGGGTTCTTGTTAAGTGTGCATTCTAGCATATTCATAAAGCAGGTTTTTTTGAAGGTAGGAAAAAATATGACAAAACAGATTAATAAACTAAACATAAATAATAAGGAAAAAATCAAATATATAAACCAGAAGAAATCTGAACTGATAAATACACAAATATTTTGTGTGCATATGTGCATGAAATTTAATATAATTCCTAATTCTTGGTATCTTGGATAACACCTGTCTGTTTTCCAGACCTCAGTTTCAGAAGTTTACTCCTTTTTTCACACATGGTTTCAGAAGGACTGTGGTCTCTTTAACAGTGAAGTTCTGTCCTCCGTCCCACACATGTTCCCACTGACTTCAACCAGCCTAAAGTTAACTATAAATACAATGGAAAGTCTAAGGTAGCTTGTTGCCTAATTTTTCCCTTTTTTCTGATGTGCTGTTTGGCTATTCATAATGAATATAAAATACTTCCTTTTTTTTTTAATTAACAGGTGGGACAAACAAAGGCTCTAATATTTTACAAACCTATTTGAAGCAAAACACTAGATATATGTTCTAGATCTCTGTTTCTCAGATCTTTATTACCAAATTCTGACTTCTTTTCATTCCATTAATGCTTTCAACAGCTTATTAAAAAGCACAGTCTTGCTAATTTACAGTAATGTCTAGAATACCTACTCCAAATTTATGGAAGAAATCAATAAATTAATCAATCAACAAAAAGGAACAGAAAAGTGACAAAACACATTTTGTTCTATTACTGTGTCAATTCTAAATGGTGTTTTAATTATTCATATAAATATCTCTAATGCATTAGTAAATGTGATGTGTTGCACACCTACTTTTTTTTTTTTTTTTTTCCAATTCTGGGGTACCAATTCAGGAATGTGGCTCCTTGCAGAAATACAAAGAAGGCCTCTGAATACTTCTCTTAGTATTTGATTCTATATAGTCAAATGTTGTCCTGCTTCCCATCCAGAATACCACAGGATTACTTACTCCACAGCACTCTCTGCTGAGAGATCCATAGAGAAAGTCACATAAAGTCACACAGCCTTGTAACACACCACACAACACAGCCACGGGGCAGAAGCACTTCTCCATCGCTCCTGCCATAGCCAACAAGCAAATTCCCAGAACTGCAGCTTGAAAGGGGAGGCAATCGTGGATATTAACATTCCACTGAGAAAACTCAGATGAAACAATGAGCTAGTGAGTATCTTTCGGAAGAGATGTCAGGGTCTAAATTCTGGGTTTGCCTGCCCAAACCCCTCCTCCTTTTTCATCAGCATGTAAAATTCTGTGCATTTTCTGGTGTACCCAGCACCCCAGGCAATGCCATTCTCACTCATTCACAGCCACGCTCACTCTGCCCACCCAGTAGCTACACTGAAGTAGTAGCTACCATCCTTGTCCCAGGAGAGACACCAACAGCACAAAGAAAGCTGCAAAGCCCGTGGGTGATTCTGTGTAGAGGTGGAATTTTTCAAATTATGATAATGAGCTTCAAAAGAGAGTGAACAGAGCTGCACAGATACAGCCCCTTTTTACGTCAGAAAGCACATAAAGGGTTGACTAACCTCTGCTGCTTATT